TCCCGGTTATGGAATTTCCTGAGTAAACCTGAGACAACATACAGACCTCTGAACAAGAACAATGGAAGTCAAGGAGCACGGAAACCGCTCCATTTGAAAGACAGTCTGGATTCCAGACAGCCAAAGCTGCAATGCCCTGTGCACTCCAAGGGGAGCTTTTTGCTCAGGCATCGCTATCCCCAGAGCACAAAGTCTTTTTGGAGACAGACACCGAATCCTGGCCCAAGCAAAGCTCCTGGTAACTGCAGACTCAGCTACGTTCCTGTGTCTGGAGCACCTGAGCTTAGGAACTGTCAGCTGGAACAGCAGCTGTGCATCAGACCCAGAATAAAGACCTCAATAGAGACCCCATTCTCTCCCCCAGTATTTGTCTTTGCAGCCAAGACCAGCCCCCAGAGAGGTGCAGCTCAGAGCAACTGGGGCTCCATAATGTGCCAGTGTTCAAGCCCCCTTTCCAGCAGCACACAACTGGTTTGGTATCAGCTGGAAGGGAGCACAAAGGGGCAGTTCTGTGTCAGCATTGCCCCCATGCTTTGGAATACTCACTATTACTGGAACCAGAAGAGGCCCCTGCTTCGGGTGTCCTGCTCACCCCAGCTACAACTCGCACCAGACTACCAACGTGCTGGGTTTCATCCTGCTCTGGGAATCGTGGTGCTCTTAAACCCTGGCCATCAGCCACTGCTGCTTTAGCCAGCCTTGATTCAGAGCAACTTCATTTCTGATTTAGTCATTATTTCTCTGTGAGATTTGTTGTTCCTTCCTTTCTCCAGCACATAGAAAGGGGGCTTAAATGATCCCCCCAAAACTGCCATAAACATACACATTTTTATACCATAATTTTAGGAATTTTAAAGGTTATTATTTATGAAGTATAAATATTATTCTTCCTTGGTTTGACATAATTTAAGCCACCTCGTTGTTCAAGATTTCTGTAAATACACAGCCACGGTTAAAACAAACCTCGTGCCTGAGGAGCTGCTGGGGGCTGCTGGGGCTGCTGAGGCACCATCAGCCCACGCTCAACAGCTCCTGAAGGGTGGGGAGAGCACTCAGCAGAGGGGCTCAGTGCTCAGTGCTCCTGGACACCATGGGTTTGAGCACACACTCGTGTCTGACCACCACGGCCACGCAAACCCTGCCCACGACAGCCGGGACCGGGCTCCAGCCGTGCAAGGGACAACTGAGCTCTGTGATACCGGCCCCGGGTTTTGCCATGTGGTGTGTACAAAGAGACAGTGGCTTTAAGCTCAAGTTTAAGTCTGGTTAATTACTTTGTGAGGAGTTTCTCTCGCCCTAATGAATTCCCTAAACAGCAGCAGTTCCATAAACACAGAAACATGCGCTGAGGTCTGCCAGAGTTACCTGCCTCATTTCCAAACGGATTTCCAACTGAGAAATGTATCTGGGTACGACAGAGGAATTTGTGTCATGATGACCAAGCGATGACGGTGCAGCGCGAGGCTCTGCGGGCCTGGTCCCCATGGAAACCAGGCTCAGATTTTGTCCTCCCCTGGCTGGAGCACGGGGACTCAGGGGCCTTTTGTGCCTGATGAGATTTCTTCCACAACCTTCCAGCAACAGACCCCACCGCTTCCTCCTGACTCCTTCCTAATTGAGATGCAAATGACTCTCCGTGGCTGATTACACTTCCCTTACAGCCCCTGACAAGTGCAGCTGGAGCCGGAGTTACAGACTTCAACAAGTGACTTCAGCTGTCACTGCTGGCGAGGGGCTGCCTGGTTGCGGCACGCGACGCCGTGGGCACCGCTACCCACTGGCACCGTGTCCCATGGACACTGCATCCCATGGGCACTGCTCCCCATCGGCACAGCATCCCACAGACACTGCATCCCATGGGCACCGCTCCCCATCGGCACAGCATCCCGCAGACACTGCATCCCATGGGCACCGCTCCCCATCGGCACAGCATCCCACAGACACTGCATCCCATGGGCACCGCTCCCCATCGGCACAGCATCCCGCAGACACTGCATCCCATGGGCACCGCTCCCCATCGGCACAGCATCCCGCAGACACTGCATCCCATGGGCACCGCTCCCCATCAGCACAGTGTCCCACAGACACTGCATCCCATGGGCACCGCTCCCCATCAGCACAGCATCCCACAGACACTGCATCCCATGGGCACCGCTCCCCATCGGCACAGCATCCCACAGACACTGCATCCCATGGGCACCGCTCCCCATCAGCACAGTGTCCCACAGACACTGCATCCCATGGGCACTGCTCCCCATGGGCACTGTATCCCACAGACACTGCATCCCATGGGCACTGCTCCCCATTGGCACAGCATCCCACAGACACTACATCCCACAGGCACTGCTCCCCATCGGCACAGCATCCCATAGACACTGCATCCCATGGGCACTGCTCCCCATCAGCACAGCATCCCATGGGCACTGCTCCCCATCAGCACAGCATCCCATGGGCACTGCATCCCATGGGCACTGCTCCCCATGGGCACTGCACCCCATGGGCACCGTTCCCCATCAGCACTGCATCCCATGGGCACCATTACCTACAGGCACTGTATTTTATGGGCACTGCTACCCATTGGCATTGCATCCCATGGGCATCACTTCCCATTGGCACTGCACTCCATGGGCACTTCACATGGGCACTGCATCCCATGGTCACCGCTCCCCATCGGCACCACATCCCATGGGCATTGTATCCCATCGGCACTGCTTCACATGGGCATGGCTCCTTATGGGCACCGCATCCCATGGGCACTGCTCCCCATGGGCACAGCCTGACTCCTTCCTGACCCCCCACAGCCTGGGATCAGGGTTGGGGCTCAGCCTGGGGGGGGGGGGGGGGGGGTGTGTCAGGTCCCCACAGATGCTCTGCACCGGCCGCTGCTCCAACAACAGGAGCCCATCACCATGGAACCACTGATGCCGGATGGAGCGTCCAGTCCATTTCTGACCATGCTGGAATCCAGAACGTTTTCAGTTACTAACCCTTATTCTATGGGTGCTGACTTCTAACATGGCCCATGTGAGGAACACCACTGGCAGACCCCTCCTCAGCTCTGCTCTACACAAGCTGTTCGGCATCACCTGAACCACAGTGTCATGGCCGATGCACTGCCAACCCTCACCCCTCACTTTGCCAGGATTACTGACTTCTGTTTCTCCCTCCCATTGGAAATTTTTGTATTATTTCACCTTTTGAGTTGTTTTCATCTCCAGATAATAGCATCTCTCATGAAAATAGCAGGATTATTTCATCATCATGAAAGTAACATCTCTCAGTCTGACAGTTACTAGAGTCCTTCACTTACTGTTCAAATCCTCCTGTTCCAGTAGCAGTCAGCAGAGCCATTTCCTGTGTGTGCACCCTGCCGGAGCTACAAAACCCCATTACTGCATGGGACAGGTCCATACACCACCTGTATACACCTACAGCCCAGCTTGTGGCTCACTAAGGATTTCAGTATAGCTAAAGATGTTACCTATAGCAGCAGTTACGGAAAGCTTTTTCTCCCTCTGCAGCATCATCCTGACAGGAACATCCCACCACGTTCTCTCTGCCCAGCATCAGAGGGTTTTCAATCCACTTTCATCTATCAAACAGACAAGTGGCAGTTGATTCACTGCAGATACCGTTGATGCGAAAACAGGCACAAGAAAGGAAGAAAAGAATCCGGGGACAGATGCTGCTCCAGCAAGCCCTCACACATATGCTGGGAAGGGGCATGTGCTATCATGTTCCTGCTGCTCATGTTCCCCTGGGGACAAGGAGGACCCAGAGAGGCCCGGCTGGGAAGCAGGAGCACGGCAGGATGCTGAAAGTCAAAAGGAAGAGCAGGAGTGGGAATTGGAGGACTCCAGCCGGGGTGAGGTGCTGGGATAGCAGCAGGGTCTCTGTTACTCACGTTAACTTTACTGCTTTAGAGCTATTGTTATACGTGGGCTATAGGAGCGGAGGGGTGAAGCTCAGTTCTGCACAGAAGCACTTCGGTAATTACCTAGAGCTCTCTCCCAAAACCACCCCGGAAAACTCAGCAAGGTTCGTATCTGCTCAGAGCCAACTGCACAGGCAACAACCCCATCTTCGCTTTAAAGCAGGTCACAGCCACGTTCATACCATACAAACTCATTTAACCACAGTGCTGCTTCTCGTTGCTGCCCGCTTCTGCAGAGTGCACTGGAGAGAATTTAGCCTTTAAATAAACAGAACAGTATTTTGTGGATATTTGTGTTTAAAAATGCCTCACACTGATCAGTGTTCTCTCCAAAACGTTTCATTTACAAACTCTTTCTCAGTGTCACATCGTTATAGAAATACTCAGATCAATAGCTCCCCAAAGCAAATGCAGTGCAGCGAGTGCTGGTCCCAAGATAAGAGAGATGATCACAAAACAAGCTATAAAATGTTTCTGGCATAATTATGGCATCATAAGAAAATCCCAGCATAGGTGAAACCCAGCAGCAATGTTGTCAGTTAGTACAGAACACAAGAGTAAGTCTGCTCCCAGCCCCGCAGCAGAGCAGCACACCTGAGAGTTACCTTCCAGCACCTGAGCGAAGAGAGGTTCTGAAAATGCCCCAATACAGATGTGGCTGGAATGAAACTGGAATTTGGGAATGGAAACATCCGTATCTGAGGCTAAATCCCACCCATTTTACTAACGGAACAAGCCCAAGTGAAGACTTTTGGACCACCTCTTTGAGTAAGATAAGAACAGGACCAAGCTCTATGTACAACCCAATACACATGGTAGGAAACTTCTGTTAGTGAGAAAGAAAACTGAGTATTGCTGTTACTTACAGCTCAAAGGGTCAGCGTTAAGCCCGAGCCTGCCAACATCAGACTGAAGCTGCTGGAGAACACTCCTGTCACGTTATGATCTTATGAAGACCTTTCCCAGTGAACTCCAATGGAAGGCTGTCATCCCAGCTTACCTCTCTGCAGAACAGCGTGCAAGTACGCGCCCTGCCAAGGAGCCCGGCCCCCGGAGCAAAGGATACAAGCTCTGGTAGAGCGGGATGAGGGATTTGACAGCCCTGCTGGCGTTGATGCACGTGGCACAGATGAGGCTCGGCAGCAGCTTCGCGGTCACGATGGCTCCGTCGAAGAGAGGACCAAAGAATGGCACCTGTGCACCCAAGCAGACACAACGCGTGTGAGGCTGAGGTTAGTGCAAAGCACGGGAGCAACTCCCACAGTCATGCACAGGAGCAGCGTGCCAAAACCCGGGTCCCACTCCATGAGCAGTGCGTTATTCTGCCATAAACTGGTACGACCGCATTGTGGAAACCACCACCCTGAGGGGCAGGGCCAGGACAGGCACAAGCACCTCAAGGTGCTGAACCCTGCTCCTGCAGCGTCACGTCCAGAGGAACCCCCCCGGGCCCCGTGCTGGCACACAGCTCCTCACACAAAGGCTGTACGAGGTTAGAGAGATGCTTTATGACAGCGATAGGTGCCTGGAATTGCATACGTGTAACAGGCTCTGCCATGCCGAACCCAGGAAATACTGATGTTTAAACACATCTTAGTGTTTCCAAGCAAACTCCTTCCCCTTCCACAACAAAACCAACCCCAACCCCCAGCCCAAGCCCCAGACAGAAGCCAGCAGCAATTATCAATATGTAAGCTATGGATTTTTTCCATCTGTACAGGGGCTTATCACATAAATAAATACCCTCCATTATTCTTCTGCAACTGCTCTTGGGTGACTGTGACAGTCATTCAATAACTGGACAAAGGGAATAATATAAATCCCCTGCATCTAGGGAATTCCTCTAATTAGAAGTGGCAATGAATTACAGAAGAAATTTGGTTTTAATCTAACATCTGCAAATGACAGCTGTCTTTCCAGCACAGTTATTCTGTCATTCCGTTACTTAAAGAGTTACCCACCCCCAAAAACCAGGTTAGTGTAAAATGTGGCCATAGTGGCTTTGCCTTTGTTTTTTGATGCTGGCATTCCCACCATGGCGGTTGGAAAGAAAGGGGTCAAGGAGGAATTCTACCCCACCAACCGGGGATGTTGTAGAGTATCAAGTCTCTCCTCTTTAAGCAGTAACATTCCCTAGTTGACACATATGGTGTTCACAGGATTGACAAAAGGAGAAAACTTGTAAACCTGCATTTGCACGGCAGCACAAATAAGATTAAGTACAGACTGGTATTAAAATGACAGCAGCTCGCAGTTACCAGACACTTAGAGCAGATGAGCACTTCCACACGGAGGGAACTGCACCATCGGGCTTTCTGAGGAGCCAGGTTTGCTCCCAGGACTTTGCTCCAGGCTTTCAAAGCCAGCTGCAGCCCAGGCATGGGGTGGATTTTGTTAACGCCGTGTACACAGGTTGTACATGTACAGTGCAGACGAGGTGTGTACATTTATGCACCTTATCTCTGTGTGTGTATGAATACATACATGTGCATAAGCTCACATTTAAAACCATTTCAGTGGCTCTCTCCAGTAAGTTTATCAAAACCACCTCCAATCTGACATTTTAAAACTAAGTTAAAGAATGGCTTTCTCTGGAAGTTTAAAAGTCAAACTCCAGTAAGTCAGAATTTACACTTCCTTTAACCAGAAGAGGAGGCTAAGCCAGGCTGAACCCTAAATCCAGAGAGCTTTCCTGAGCATCCCTGACCAGGGTGCAGAGATACGAGTGCAGTGGGAGCGCTGGAGGGTGACTTCCCAACACTGGGACACAGGCTTTTCCAGCATGCCCCGAACGCTCAGACAGGTTTATTTCAGGATCTGTCCCCATGGCACCTGTTTTGTCCGAAGTTCCCAGCACTTCACAAGGAGCTCGGCCTGCTCTGGCAGATGGAAAAGAGAATACTGCAAGGGATGGAAGAGACTTTGTGGGGCGGGCACTGGCTTTCCTCCCACAGGTGAAGCCCAGTGCAGCCGCAACCAGGAGCAGGGTTTGCCAGCGGGATCCCAGCTCTGGGATGTGTGGCTGACCCTGGAGACTGCCCGGCCTGGCAGGAGCAGCACAGGCAGGCACAGTGCAGGCAGGGAGCAACAGAGCAGGCAGCAGGAGCAGCAGCACAAGAGCAGGGAAGGCAGGAAGAACAGTGCAGGCAGGGAGAAACAACACAGGCAGGAGCAAGGAAGGCAGGAGCAGCAGCACAGGCAAGAAGCAGGGAAGGCAGGAAGAGCAGCACAGGCAGCAGTAGCAATGCAGGCAGCAGCAGCACAGGCAGGAGCAGTGCAGGCAGGGATCAGCAGCGCAGGCTGCAGCACCAGTGCAGGCAGGCAGGGGCAGTGCAGTGAAGGCAGGGAGAAGCAGCAGCACAGGCAGGGAGCAGTGCAGGCAGGAGCAGCAACACAGGCAGGAGCAGAGCAGGCAGGAGCAGAGCAGGCAGGGAGCAGTGCAGGCAGGAGCAGAGCAGGCAGGGAGCAGTGCAGGCAGGAGCAGAGCAGGCAGGGAGCAGTGCAGGCAGGAGCAGAGCAGGCAGGGAGCAGAGCAGGCAGGAGCAGAGCAGGCAGGGAGCAGTGCAGGCAGGAGCAGCAGTGCAGGCAGGAGCAGCAGAGCAGGCAGGAGCAGAGCAGGCAGGAGCAGCGCAGGCAGGAGCAGCGCAGGCCGGCGCAGCAGAGCAGGCAGGGAGCAGAGCAGGCAGGAGCAGAGCAGGCAGGGAGCAGCAGAGCAGGCAGGAGCAGCAGAGCAGGCAGGGAGCAGCAGAGCAGGCAGGGAGCAGCAGAGCAGGCAGGGAGCAGTGCAGGCAGGAGCAGAGCAGGCAGGAGCAGAGCAGGCAGGGAGCAGCGCAGGCAGCGGCACAGCCGGACCATACGCCCTCCCTGACACAAAGCCGGGCATTATTCATTCCGAGCAGCCCCAGCGGCCACGCTCGGGGTCATTAAAGTCAATGGGAGTCGCGTATCGTCAGCTTCCATCTGTACAGGGGCTGGAGGGGGGACCCCGGCACAGGGACGCGCTCCCGGCTCAGCGCTCTCCGTGGGTCGGAATTAAACACCCACTGGAGGAAAACGGTGCTTTGAGTGGCTACGAACCCACGTTTGGCTTTGACGGGACTCAATGAAAAAGAGAGGGAAGGGAAACGTCCCCTTCCTGGAGCGCCCAAATGTCAGCGCGGCTTCTCCACGAGGCAAAATTTAATATTCAGCCCCTCGCAAACACCTGCTTCATTACAACCTCCCGGAGAAAAATCACCATTTCCGTTGCCCGCAGTAAAAGTAGGCAAGGTTAAATAAACCTTTTGAGCACAAAGGCTGCCCCTCTCCAGCGCGCAGCACTAGTTAAAGGAGTGGGGAACGGGGAAATTATTGTACCAAATGGCTGAGAATTAATCTCTGCTGACTAGCTGCAATCTAACGAGGCATCTGTGTCCCAGGGAACCCGCAGCATGTCCCTGGCGGTATGTGCCGCGTGTAGTCTGCCTGGCATTCTTTGTCCCCTTTTGCAGGCAGCTTTTCGTCTCATTGTTCAGAATATCCTCATGCATCTGTGACGCGTGGAATGCATTCACACTAACAGACTTACTATTGTCTTCCCCCAGCAGCTTTGTCGGGCAAAGACTGCATCCCGGCTCCTGATAATTATATTGCTTAATTAATCAAGACAAAAAAAATTTGCAAATCATTGCCCGGTTGCCAAGCAGGGAGATAAAAAATGAAAACAATACAAGCCGAGGCAATATAACAAAAGTAACAGCTATCTGATCAGAAATTCTTCTATAATGAAGCTATTAATGCTAAATCGGTTAATGTTAACATTGCTCCAGGTGTCTCTGCTTAGATGCAAACAAAAAGGCTAACATTATGTATATAAAAGGCCAAATGTTGCCATGGATTCTGTAACCTGATAGAGAGGACAGCCTTTTCATTTGATTAGGGAATGCAATTTAAATACCAGGGACCGAAGCCAAACAACAGACATTTCTCTCTGCAAGCCTCTCTCATTCACCCTGGGGTCAGTAGCTGGTGAACAAAAGGTCAGCCACACTTGCCCTGGAAATGTCTGGATTAATTTTATTACATTGTAATGGTTTGTACTTTAAATGTAGGGATAACACTAAATTTCCAGTTAGCTATTCTTCTTTCTGCCCGGTGGGTGTTTTTGACTAATATGGAAGATGACATGGCTTTTCTCCACTGCTCCACAGAATAACCAAGCGTGTTCGTAATGCCAAGTCCTGATGTTCCTGATGGAACATGAAAAGCTAAAACTCCCCCAAAATACACTGCAGAGCTCAAAATCAAGTAGGGAAAACACCACTATTTCAATGTAGAAACCAAGTTTGAAACATACACTGGCAAACCACTGGCTGTTAATACCTGATAACTCCATCAATATATAATATAATCTAATATATAATATCAATATATAACAACTCCATCATTCATAACTCAAAAAATACCAGCTGGTAAATACATACCTGACGTAGGCATTTATCCACAGCTGGTTATTCTCTTGACAAACATTGTCCCTCATATAAAGGAAATGGGATTGATCACACTGATTGCTTTCATAAAGCTTATTTTATATACATTTTTGCATCCATAATGTACCAGACAAGCATTAAAGTAGCTTTTTTTCCCTATATATGGACAGATGTACCTACACACCCCTGACATTTGGCAAAGAAAAAAATTCATTCTTTCCAAAACGTGTCTAAAATGTGGTTGCATTAACAATGATTTGAACAGAAAACACCAAACCTGATGTAAGGATACCCAGTGTCTGCACCATCCCACTGAGTCACATCATGAGGTTACACACGGTACCACACGTACAGCAGCAACCGAGCTGCATGGAGTGAATTCATAGCAAATAAGGAATTTATGTCTTGATTATTTTGCTGTTATTGCCTCATAGTGGAAATTCACAATGACTTTGAGCACTGTTCTTATTGTACAATAGCTCCTATGGGTTGAGAATGCTGGAATATTTCTTTAAGCGCTGAGCACAACTGTAACATGAACTAGCAGCCATTTCCACCACTATTCATAATTCCAGGTTTAAGATAAAAGCTCATTGCTCAGCATACTTTTAAACTGAGATGGAGGGACTGTATTTTGTATTTGCTGGTAAAACAAACCCAAAGCACTGAGCTTTATTTAACAACTGGTCCCTTGCATAACACATAGGAGAGATGCAGTAAATCAATCAAAACATACCTCTGGTTTCTTCATTATCTCTATGAAAAACATGTGATTCTTCATGGGGTAAATAACAATTAGAACATCTCCAAAGTCTGTGGGAATAATGCCTCTGCGGTAGTTCCTGGTGTGCTCAGACCAGACGATGTGAACCTCATCATTTCCCAAGTGACGAAGCTGCAACAGCAAATTGGCTCTTTATTAATCAGAGTGATAACAACAGTTTATGAGGGGTCAGGGCTTACAAATTGAATTACAACACTCAATAGTAGAAATATTTCATTACAGAAAAAGCGAAAATATTGGTTTTGTCCAGTTACTCATGAAAAGATGAGCTAAAGAATTCGTTCCCTTCTGAAGGCATCGCTGGTGATGGCTAATTAAGTAATTACCAAACCAGCCATTAGTGTGAGATGTAAATGTACATCACCTGCAATCACTTCACATGGAAATCTGAACTACCAGAACTAACCCTTACCCCACAGAACATAGTGCAGCCTCAAGAAGGCGGCTGTCACAGAAGGATGCAATGCCTCAACTCAGGATGCCCAGAAACCCCATCACTAACCACTGTTCCTGGTTTATTACATTGCAGATAGCCCCTTGCTGGCTTTGGGAAGGACTTTTTGCTGGAAAATAGCTGGGCACCGTGAATTAGAGGCGAGTGGCAAATGCCGTGGCAGTTACCTTGTTATCTGGAGCTGAATTACATAAAATATGGATAACGCTAAATGTGACGGAGGGAACGCATCTGAAAGCCGCGGGTCTGCTTTGTTACTGGAGGGGCTGGAGGTGATCTAACAGATGGCAGCGAGTGTTTGGCAATCGTGTACAAGCCACGCACAATAGTTTCAACTGTAAGCTTTAAAGTTAAAATTTAATCCACACGCAGAATGCCAGCCCAGAGCAGAAAGAGAATTTAAGTCCCACTTAAAGCTTAAAAGCCCCCCCCCTCCCCTCCAGACACACACAATTCGGTGCTAGCCCCTGAACAATGTGCACAATAGCCCTGACAAAGCAGCCAAACGGGCCCGGCTCTTCACTGCCTCTGGGCGGGGGGAGGAAAGAGGAAAGGAAAAAAAAGTAGTGATTTTCCCTGGTAAATAAGGGAGCAAATCCCCACCCGCCTTGCATCAGCCCTACCCTAGCTCCCAGATCCACCGACTGCCGTTACAAGTAAAGCCTTCTGCTGCTATACACCAGGGGAAACTACCCTCCCTGTGAGAGAAACATGGCAAAGCTGTGACACGTTGTGAGAATCAGGTGCAACCACCAACCTGCCCTACAGCTCATACTCTAGTCGAGTAAAATAAAGCCAAGTTTGCAGAGTGACCCAGATTCCCAGCTTAATTTAATGAACCGGCAGGCAAAGAGTTGTATTCTATCCCTCGGTGTAAATAAAAGAAATTTTTAGTTCTGTCTAAAGAAAATACAAACCATTTGTCTTATAAAATCACTAAGTGCTATTCCTAAAGCTTCTTCCATGCACAACCATCAACACAAGTTGCTGTCCTCAGTCACCCTCATTTCTGTGAGTCTCTTCTCTTTTCTTACTTGCTCAGTAAAACAAAGCAGCACCCACACAGCACCGATGCTGACAGTACCACGGTGCAGTCTCACACACCCTAACCTCAGCAGGAATTCACACGTACAACCAGACCTGGACTTCCCTTCCGTGGGCAGACGCAGCCGTGTCACCTCAATAGCACCCAAAAGCCAGACCTGAAGTTTCCTGTTAAAAGCCCAGAGATCTGTGTGGCAACAACAGGTTTTAATGTGGAGGAGCCGGGAGCCTGGCCAGCCTGTTCTGCCCCAGCCGAAGCTGGGCTGTGGTGTTCCATGGGAGCTGAGTGGGGAGCCAGCTGTATTCAGAGCAGGCAGCGCCTGCAGTGTACAAGGCTGTGCCCAATACTACACAGAGCTCTGGCACGGCCTTCACAACACAGAGGAAGCCCACATTTAGCAACCTCTGCTTTAGAAAGCCCAACAAATGAACACAGAAACTGCACTCTAAAGGTGATGCAATTTTCCAGTTGCATGTGGCAATTCCTGAGCTAACACAGCTCTTCCCCAGAACAACCTGTGAAGGAAAGGCTCTGCACTGCCTCACCTCGGACTGCTATAAACCAGTGATCGCACTTTGTCCAAACACTGCTTCAGAGACCCTTTGTACACCACAAGGAACTGTTCTGCTAATAATCAAACACTTTTCATGCGGAAGAAACCCAAACCACTTTGTACTTATACCACATCCAAGAGAACAAAATTCAGTGAACAGAAAGTCAGATCAACTGATGCTGCTGTGCTTGAGAGAGGGAGTGATTTGTGCCTCAAATCTTGCCAACATCGTGCAATAATAAATTCCTGCCTTTGCTGCAGTCCTCATGGCAGGCTGTAAGGCATTGCAAAGCTCAAGCTACCTGCCACCGTTTCCAAGTCACAGGTCTTTAATCATCACATGTATAAGGTATAATGCTACAAACATAAAACTGGTATTAATAAACATTATTTGCTCTTGAAAGAAAATGCCACTGATAAAAAGCACTGTAATAACGTTATCAGTGACAACAGCCCAGCTGCTGCTCCGCAGCCCTGCTCCCTCACAAGGCGCTGTGGGGCAGAGTCTGCGCCCTGAAGGACAGAAGCGAGCTTTGCCTGGGGGCCCGAAGCAGCGCAGAGGTGGTGTTTGGAGGCAGAGGCCCCGGCCGTGTCCTTCATGAGGGGCAGGGTCAGAGGGGAAGAAAAAACTCCGTTAGAGAAAGTCCCCCAGCAGCCAGGAAACAAGATCTGTGTTAAAGCAAAACCCAAAGACGGCTCAGCCGCGGGCCCTCAGACGTTCCAGTTCATTGCTGACCTGAAGGGTCTGCACAGATGTGCCAGGAAGGCAGCTCCGGAGCCCGCAAGTGCTCCTCGGGAGCGAGCTGGCAGCGCTCGGGGGCTCAGCCGCGCCTGCAGGAACAAAGCATGGAGCCACGGCCCGGGCTCTCTGACCCTGCAGCGCCAGCGCCTGCGAGCGGCGGGCACCGCTGCTGCCGTGCGCGGCGCGGCCGAGGATGAGCTCTGCTGCGCGCCCGCTCAGCGCTAACGCGGAGGGGAGAGCGCAGCCGTGCCGGGAGCCCAGCGAGCACCCGGAGCGCACCGGGAGCTCCTCGGGGGGTCACCGAGCACCGGGAGCGCACCGAGAGCTCCTCGGGCGGTCACCGAGCACCGGGAGCGCACCGAGAGCTCCTCGGGGGGTCACCGAGCACCGGGAGCTGTCCGGTTGCTCGCCGAGCGCCGGCGGCTGCTCGGAGCGCGGCGGGGCTGCCCCCGCCCGCAGGCGCGGCGCTGCTGGCGCGGCGCTGGTCACGGCACACACCTCATGGCCTGACCTCCTTTCCCCGCTAATTGCATTACACAGCCAGCTGGCTCCAGAGACGAGTCGTCTGTTTGACTGAAGAATTCCTGCTTTGGGGAAGGCACGGCTGCTACTTTTGCTAAGTACCAGTGGGGGCTGACATCCCCATTGTCTGCTGACAGCGTACGCATCCGAAAATCTAAGTTTTATTTGTAAATTAACCAAGAAACTTCCTGCCAGAACAGTGCTGCCTGGAGACTGATAATGTGTGCCTTTCATTCCCTTTCACTCTTACTGTATCACTGCCAATTTGTTTTTCTGCTGCTCGCCAGCCCTAGGCTATAAAAGCCTTGTAAGACATAAGTGCAATTATAGTCCTGGAGTCAAATGAATTGGACAAATCCAATAGCACAGCTCTGTCCCCACTTTGCAAACCCCTACAGCAGTTAGATTAGCTGCTAAAAATCGAATCTAGCTCCAGCTAACAAATTTCTGCAGCAAAGGAGCAAGAGTTCAGTATGGGGTTGCAACCAGATTTCTGAATTGAAAAGTTCTGCTGTGACAATGGGGAAGATGGAATAAAGCACTCACAACTGCGGCAGCTCGGTTTTAAGGCTTTCAGTACAATTCAGGCAGGATGCTGCTACTATGATTGATCTTCACTTCGCCACGAGACAGGCAGGTTAAAAACCAGTTCAGAGCCAATGCTGCAGAACCCCACAGCAGCAAAGATACCTGCTGAGTTTTGATTATTCCACCAAGAAACATTTTTTTTCAGGGCTCAGACTTATTTGGAGAGGGTTTTTTCCTCTCTTTTTTTCCTTCCCCAAGTAAGCAATATAATACGTCAGCATTTACTTCAACTAAAGGAATACAAACTGCAAATCACAACTGCACTACACAAGAAGGGGCCACGCTCATCCTCAGTAGAAGTGCACTTATTCTTGTGAATTCAAAGCAGAAATGAATTGTCCCTCTTGTGTGCAGTAAACATAAAGAGCCATAATAACATATTTAAGTAAAATTACTGCATCTGCTTCATTCCGCATCGCAGAGAATCCGGCCTCTGCCCCAGCTCCCGGGCCAGCAGGTGGTAAACCCTTCTGTTCTGCTCAGCCCCAGCCCATGAGCCAGGCACCGAGTTCCTGCTGCCTGTCTGCAGGCAAAACAAGCACAGGAGAGCCCACAGAAACAGCATCAAGATCTCAGAGACAAGGGGCTCGAGTCCCACACGCTATCCACGGACAGCCCTGCCGGATGGAAGCAGGGGAAGGCAAGAAAAACGTTGTGGCCCCCACTGCATCCTGACTGGCATCTGATTTTCTGCTTCAGTAACAGTGTCCTCCGTGCCCACTGTGCTGTGCTCCAGCACAGCAAACACTGACATGGAGCAGCGAGCGGGTGACACTGGAATCTGCCTTCCTCTGACACACTGCTATGAAAAGGGAGCATTGTTGGGAAGAAGAAATAAACATGAAATGATGTTGCTGACCTGGACCAACTGCCCCAACAACCTGAGGCGGGAGCCAAGCCCATGCTCGCTGTGCAAGCAGAACTGTTAAAGTGCTGGTGATGACCTGCAGAGTCACTGTGATCTCCGCTGCATCTGATCGCGATGTTAACCCGGTACTGCAGGATGCAGGAGGGCAGCACGGACAGCGGGGGGAACACAAACATTTTCCTCTTGCTTCAGAGTATGTCACAGCAGACACGTGCTTCTCCTCAAGCACACGCCGGTTGTGCTCTGCACAGGCAAAGGCTGCCAAAATCAACGTGGGACTTCTGTGGCCTGAGGAACTGTGCTGCTAAAGCATCGATGTAGCTGTACATCGATGTACTGCAGTACAGGGCCTCCACAGCTAAGGTTTGCAACAGAAATTTCTAGAAATGAGCATGTTTATTGGCTTTTAAGAACCACGGTAGGTTTAATGCTGTCTGCAGAGATGGTTTGGATACGCTCGTGCTCAAAATGCTGGTTTTGAATGCAGGCGAGTTCATCCCTCAGCATCTTCAAAGAACTAGAGACCTATCAATTGTCCAGAAATCTTCCAGTGCTTCTGAAGCACATCCTGCCTCCACCCTTAGCTGCAGGTCTGCCAAGCTGGGTAAGAAGTCTATGCTAATTTGCACAGGAACACACACTTGCTTATGCAAGAGCTGCCACAAATCAACCAGAACTGTTCTGTGCACAAGCACAGAAGATTATTCCTTTCAAAAAGCCCTCTGGAAGTCCTCTGGTCCAGCCCACCAGCTCCTCAGGTCCACGAGGGTGCTCAGAGCTTTGTCCTTCTTTACAGGACACGCAGTTTGATCCCTGCAGGGCTCCATCCCTACAGCAGATTTTAAGTCTCAGAGCAATTACTTTGCTTGTTTTCTGTGGATAGCAGGTACTGGAGCTGGGCTGGTTTCCCAGCACTTCAAGACTTGGGGACTGGCAACTACAAACTGCTTTTGCTTTTTGTTTCTAACACAGAAGAAATTCTCCTAAAGCCAACACAGGGAAGACAATTAAACAGAATAACCAGACTCTCTCGATGTCTGTGTTAATCCCTAATGTGGGTGGGAATTAGGAGAATCAGTAAAATAGACTGTTTGCAATTAAACCCCCTCTCTCCCCTTGTGGTAGCTCTGTCAGACTGTGCTCTCTCCTCTCCCTGGTGACGTATTACTCAACAGCGAGACAGTATTTCCACAAAACCCAGGAGCTAAGATTAGAGTAAATGAACACAATTTGAGTAGGAAGAAGGAGACATAGCAGCAGCTCTCAAACATGAGCAAGTCTGCTGCAAAATAATCTGTCCCCGATATCCATGTGGAACAGCGTCAAGGGCTTAAATTGGAGCAAAGTAGATGCTACAAGAAATGTTCTTGTGGAGCATAGGAATATGTTGCCTAGGGAAACTGGAAAGCATTCATCACTGGAGTTTTTAACTAGCAGCTGGATAAATACTGGCCAGGAACAATAAAATACAGATGGTCCTACCTTAGTGAAGTGACAGAGACCGTACAGCCTCTTCACATGAGCCACAGCCCTACTTCTCCGTCCTGAAGTACTCAGACTGCATTTTCCCCATAGCCATGTAAATCCACTAATATGAAGCTAATGAGTCGCATTCATGAAGAGGAACATGTCATTTTGTTGACTTTTGTTTTAAATGCCAGATAGCACAATAAGAAAAGCAAGGATCTGGTTAACTCTTCAATGCCGGGTGAGGCTTCAGCTCCAGTGATCAGAAATCCCACCTTTTGATTTTGAGGAAAAGCACGTTATTTTGAAACCAAGAGGACAAATGCAATCACCCAATGACATAGTTATGGATGATTTTCAGAGCACAATAGCATCACATGGTAGACTGGATGGCTGCAGCAGCATTATTAACACACATTAACAACCTATGCAGGACAAGTTGCCAATCCTAATTAAAAAGCCAAAGATTTGGTATGCACCTAAAATCTTCTTTGACTCTGAGCAGCAGTTGGCAAGCCCCATCATCTCACATCACTCCTTGTTAGGGAAGACAAATGATCAAGCACTGATACCAACAAAATTTTGGGCTGGGTTCTGGCCATCTTTGAAGCAGAGTCTGCTTGTCAGAATTGTGAATAACTGCATAATGGCTTTACATATCAGCTGGCTGCCTTCGGTACTATGCTTGTCACTTCTCTTTCACTTCTTTTCTTCGCCGTTCCACGCTGGATGATTCATCTGCAAGGTTTTATTATGCTGCATTTGGTTGTTTTGTTCTACCAAACTACAACAGTTTTGGCAGGCAGACAACATACAAATGAAATTATTGCTAATATTATTGCTAATGGTGGCATTTGAGGCTACCATGGAAATGTTAATTGTGTTCCAGAATCCAGAATTTAGATGCCATTTAATCCAGATAATGTAGCTGCAGAGCACCATGTGGCAGAGCAAAGATGGCCTGCGAGGACCAGGCAGCACAATCTGCTTCCAGTTTAAACTTTGATTTAAGCACAGGGAAACTGCAGGCACTGTTGTGACACACACAGGAAGTGATTTACCTTTTTGGTGAGTGAATCATCTGAATCTGAAGGCATCCTCGTGGACACATGGAAAATGATCTCCACGGTGGAGGTAGCGTAGTAGGGTGCTGTCTGTCCTGTGCTGCCGTTGCGCTGCAGGCCACCCATGAACCCCCCGTGCGTGGACAGATCAACCTGATCCATGGCAAGGCAGGATGAGAAGGGATGTGAAGAGACCAATCAATCGTCAGTACTCCTTTATATATCAAGCCCTGGTGAATTTACCCCTTTATGATTCTGCAGCCACCCCAGAGAAAGAGAAGCCTTCCCCTATGGGTTCGTGATCTGAGCATTAGTTAGAGCTGTCTGTTGCCCACTCCTGTATCTGAGCTTTACTAACAGCAGCCACCTCTTAACTAGGCCCCAGTCATTATCTCTGTGGCTCTTTGCCTCCCTTCCAGCAAACACAGCCAGGAAGCAGCAGCATTGTCATGAGCAGCTGCTCCAAGGGCTGTGCAGGCTTAGCAAGCCCACTCCAAGCACACACCCGGAGAAGTAACTGAAGTGCAGAGCAAATACAAACCACCAGGAAAGCTGCAGAACAAAGTGGACGTTGGTACAGGAAGAAAAACCTCAGAAGAAACTATTCTAGAGGATCATTTAGAAGAAATGTCCCTCTGAAGACAAGCCTGTGTCCAAAAGCTTGTCTGTTTTCCCAGCTGCATCACTGAGGATGCCACCTTCCCCTGCAGACCTTGTGTCCCTTAAATCCTTAAGCATGAACACAGTTACTCTCCATATCCAAAACCCAGAAGCGTTCACAGCAGTCTGGTCCCTGACACACCATTTCAGCAGTGCAAACTGAACACAACTGTGTCTGCTCTTTGTAAAGCTCTCCTGTGGCTGGGTACGAGGCCTGACCACAAGGAGTTAATAGGAGGTAAAATGAAGGTAAAGTCATGCTCCAGCTCTCCAAGATGCAGAAAGCAGAAGTGTCCCCTACAGCATTGTGGGTCCCTCAGAGACAGGGAGGATGCATTCGTGCAGGAGCAGCATGGGGATTTACAGCACTCTGCTAAGGAGGTGATCTTTGAAGTAGTGCTAAATATCAGTGTGCATTAAAATTTACCTCCCCCCCCCCCCCCAATTACAAACCACACAGCGATCTAAGCCCTTGGTTTCCAGTATGTAAGCTTGCCTAAATTTGTGACTACTATTACCTCCCAGCCCAGTCCAGCAACAAAATCTTCATAGGCCTGGCTTCCCCTTGCGTTGGACAGGATGGAGCACTTGTCCTCCTGCCCCTCTGCAATGTAGAACACCGCAATCTTGTGGGTCTCCCGGCTGCGAGGGGATACAAGAAACAAAACTTACACAAGCTATAGCTCAGAGTTATTTTTTAGACCATCTGCACTCAAAAGCAACGAGCAGGTGACCCCCGTTAGCTCTGCACGTCCCTTCCTTCCATGCCCACAGATACATCCCTCGCTTCCAGCTCCAGAAGTAGGTTTTCCCCAGTGTTTCCCCCATGACCACAGTGCAGCCAAGAGCAGAGCCGAGTGCAGCCAAGAGCAGAGCCGAGTGCAGCAGCAGCAGAAGTGGTGACCAGGTTCCAATTAGAGGGTTAATCACATACATCTGTGCAGCCCTGCAAGGAGGTGCTGGCCCAGGTGTTAACGGGAGCTTAACGTGACCTACAGGATTTTCATTACAGGCTGATGATGTACGAGAAAGAAAAACCATTATTGACTTCCAGAGCCCGGGCTGAGCTGTACATGGCCAACAGGGACAGCTGCCTGCTTTGGAAACAACCTGGGTGGGTTTGGTACGGAAATCGTTGGGATAGCAGAAAACCAGGACTCTTCAATGCTCCAGTTTCCCAAGGGCTGCGTGTCATGTAATGAAGAATCAAACGCAATAAGCAGCACTCTGTTCTGCCACTGCCTGGCTGCAGAGTACTTGTATGGACATCACCCCTCTGACTGCTGCCCCTGACACAGGGCTCGCCCTGCAGGAAACAGTCCTTTGTGTGAGCTGAGCCAAGGCCACGAAATAGCTGGAGATTCTTCCTGCCCTCTCAGCTAAAGAAAACAGGAAACAGGTTGCTGTGCCTTGGGATGTGCTACTGACTGGGAATGCTGTGTATCTAGTGCCAGTGAAGAGAGCTTGTCCATCCATGCTCCAGAGCCCTCCAGAAACAAGCCATCCCTTTTCCATACAGACATTCATATTGCTAGCACACGCAGTTTTACTGAAGCTTGGGTTTGGTGACTTCCCACTGCTCCTTGGGAAACGCTCCCCTTGCCAATGGTGTGGGCAGTAACCATTTGCCTACCACTGGCGGGAATCCAGGTTCTTCAGTTCTCGCAGCAGCTTCGAATTCTTCTTCAGAAGATGAAAGCTCTTCCTATGAATACATAAAACAGGAGTTGAAGGGAAAGGCAGCACGGCACAGACACAGCATTTCCTCATTCAAATACCAAGAGAAGGGAATCAAATCAGCACGATGCAAATGGGGGTTTATCATTATTCTTACTGTAAGCAATCTACAAATGTGTATTCAAAAGAATCACTGAAACAGGTACATGTGGAAGTTCAAGATCGTGCTCTGACCACCACCCAGCTATATCATTCTCAATTTAAGAGTGCACAGGTTTGGGGGTAGAAGTGAGAAGAGGACCATAAACGTGCTCTGAATCCTCTCTTCCTACCTTCTATCCCAGGAGTTCATTCCCAAGTCGTTTAGCAAGAGCCGACAGAAGTAGAAGGAAGCCTGTGGTTCAACAGGACGCGGCTCTTCTTGGTGGGCCACCCTCATGCTGAGGTCCGAGCTGCACTTCAGGATGTACTGCTCTTCCTGGGCACTCTGCCTCATCAGGGCCTCCGTGAGCGCGCGCTCCTGCTCACAGCTCATGCCGAAGGGTGGCGGCGCCGGCTCGTTCAGCTTCCGCTGGGGATGCAGGAGGCACTCGGGACTGGTGGTACCAATCCGCTCCAGCAGCTGGTCCAGAGCATCTTCTCCCTCTTCCACCTGAGAAAGGTCTTTCTGGGAAATGAAGTGGTGCTGGGGGGTGCTGGAGACGAGCAGCGCGCTCGCTGGGCTCTGCTGCGGGAGGCAGCCCTCCAGGGGCCCGTACAGTACCCTGCCATCCCAAGAGTACTTCCCTGAGATATCTCTGACGATTACCCTGACGTCCGAGGGCGCTGCTGGTGGCTCAGTGTCCGTCTTCTCCGTGGGGATTTGGAGGTAGGATATAAGAGTACTGTCATTGAAGACGAAGAGCTGCAGGTTGGGGCTCCGGAAGACTTCCGAGGACAGCTCGGAGGACTCCACGTAGGAGTTGTCGTGGTTCTCGCTGAGGAGGCTGTGCAGGATGGCAGGGCCTCCGCTGAGCGGGTAGTGGCTCAGGTGATTCACCAGGTGAGTCATGACCATCCGCGCCGTCAGAGGGATCAGCTCTAAATTCCTCCTCCTTTTTTCTAAAACAAGGAAAACATCACGGATGGATGGGAGCAGCAGGAGCAATTCAAACAGAGCATGGGCACGTTTCTGTTCCTATTGGAGAAGCTTGCCTTAGTTGTTAAGAGAATCAGAGACTCACAGGACAGTTTGGGTTGGAAGGGACCTGAAAGCTCCTCCAGCTCCATGCCCTGCCATGGGCAGGGACCCCTTCCACTGGAGCAGCTTGCTCCAAGCCCCTGTGTCCAACCTGGCCTTGAGCACTGCCAGGGATGGGGCAGCCACAGCTTCTCTGGGCACCCTGTGCCAGCGCCTCAGCACCCTCACAGGGAAGAGCTTCTGCCTAAGAGCTCAGCTCAGTCTCCCCTCGGGCAGGTTCAAGCCATTCCCCTTGGCCTGTCCCTCCATCCCTTGTCCCAAGCCCCTCTCCAGCTTTCCTGCAGCCCCTTCAGGCACTGGAGCTGCTCTCAGGTCTCCCCTTCAGGAGCCTTCTCTTCTCCAGGCTGCCCCAGCCCAGCTCTCTCAGCCTGGCTCCAGAGCAGAGCTGCTCCAGCCCTCGCAGCCTCTCTGTGGCATTAAAGTTATATTTTAATGTTTCCAACATTTCTGTTAGAACTAGAAGTACACGCACGAACCCAAAGGAAAGAGCACGTTTTCCAGGAAGAGCTGTGCCCCGGGAAGCCCCATTCCCCAGCTGCTGAGGGCTGATGCGCTGGTCCCCACCACACTGAGCTCTTACCCTCAGCGACCGTGAGCAGGTTGCCCAGGTCTGTGGAGGAGTGGCACTGGGCTGGCTCCGAGCTCCTCACGTTGCCCAGCGGCAGGAACGGGTCGTAGTCGCTGGAGGAGAGGTCTGCCAGGCTGAGCACGTAGTGGCTCTGCTGGGTGTAGGTGCTGGAGCCATTCACACAGCAGTGCAGAACCTGCAGCACACAGGCATGGGCTGAGGGGCAATAAGGGGGACACTGCAGCACCCCCTTACACACGTTCCCTGTCAGCTTTACATGGTGAAAGCCAGGACATGCTACAAGGGACGCTCATGTCTAAATGCTGTTTTGAAAAGAACACTGTTCCCCAGCACTGACTCTGTACTGAACTGCTCTCTGCAGGACTCACCCTCTATTTTAACAGCCCAGGTCAAGTCACTGAAATACTTCTGCAAAGATTATTTTCCCTGGCTCTCTGTTTTAAGCATTTTGCCTTTCTCTCCTCACCAGCCTCTGTCTGTTCTACCTCTCTGATCTCCCCATCACAGCGCTTTGCATTCTGCACCTCTCATTTGGACACCTTCTGCTCACTGTGAGAATTCAGGACTTTGTTAAAAATGCTTCTGTGCCCACCAGGATCTGCGAGAGAATCCCATTCATCCCTCAGACTCACTCTGTAAATGTAGTCCAGCAAAGGAGCTTTGGCTGCGTGTTGATCTTCAAGAGCACCCGCAGACACTGGCTCCAGCAGCGTCTTCATGGGCAGTGCCATACACCAATCCAACAGGCAGAGCAGCAATGAAACTATGAACTGAATAAAACCATATAACACAGAATTTAGGTATATTCTATTAAATACACCCAAACTTAAAGCAATTTCATTCAATAACCGTCTCAAATAGCACACACAAGGGACAAAGGCTGCTCTTTCCAGCAACGTACCTTTTTATCTGCTTCCACTGAGGAGTATTCAGCACTCGGCAAGAGAAAGGCAATAGTGGCCACGAGGATCTACATTGGAACAGAATTTCACAAAGACATCTCACATCTTTCAGTATAAAGGCAGAGCATGAACTTCATTGGAACAGGGCACGAGAGAGGTTAAATTCTCTCAGGAGCATCTCTCTGCCCTTATAAATCAATGTCCAAGGGAGACTACAAAGATTTCCTGAGCCTTTGGGAAATGAATCACTACAGATTAGAGAAGCACACTGGTCCTAGGACCAAGAACCGTAGAAAGACAGAGGTAACATAAAGCCACAGTCAGAGCAGCTCAAGCAAGGAACGAGGGAATAAAGACAACTTTGCCCATGATTTCCACACAAACACTTGAAAGAACCTGCCTCACCTCAGTGATCTTTCTGGACAGGGAGGGTTCATACTTCTGAAGCTTTTGCCAGTAAGAAACCAGCAGCTGAAGAACATCACAGGCTACCTGAGCTACCAGTTTATTAGAGAACTGGAAGAGAAAAGGAGATTAGAATATAGATATGCATGTAAACTATCCAGGTATATTTCCTTGCGTTTTCCTGTATTTTAAGTATTGTGCATCCATACAAACCATAAAGAACTGGTGATGTTGCAACAGCGCATCGTCCTCACCAGGGTAAGCCAGGTGTGACCTTATCTGTGTGATCTTAACTTGGCCTGTGGTGGGAAGGGTCTTTAGGTACAGAGTCACAGGCTGGTTCTGCAAGTGTCCTGCACTGTTCTATAGGACACAAGAGGATGTGGAGCTGCTGGAGCGAGTCCAGAGGAGGCCATGGGGATGCTGCGAGGGCTGGAGCAGCTCTGCTCTGGAGCCAGGCTGAGAGAGCTGGGCTGGGGCAGCCTGGAGAAGAGAAGGCTCCTGAAGGGGAGACCTGAGAGCAGCTCCAGTGCCTGAAGGGGCTGCAGGAAAGCTGGAGAGGGGCTTGGGACAAGGGATGGAGGGACAGGACAGGGGGAATGGCTTGAACCTGCCCGAGGGGAGACTGAGCTGAGCTCTTAGGCAGAAGCTCTTCCCTGTGAGGGTGCTGAGGCGCTGGCACAGGGTGCCCCGAGAAGCTGTGGCTGCCCCATCCCTGGCAGTGTTCAAGGGCAGGTTGGACACAGGGGCTTGGAGCAAGCTGCTCTAGTGGAAGGGGTCCCTGCCCGTGGCAGGGGTTGGAGCTGGAGGAACTTTAAGGTCTCTTTAACCCAAACCAGGCTGGGACTCTGTGACACTGCCAAGGGCCCCACTGAAGAACCATGCACAGACTCAGAACCATGCTCCCTGAAGATAAGGAGCTGCTAATGACAGGCAAAGGTTCAGAACTGGGAGATACCTTCCTGAGGGCAGTTAATGCCATCCCACTACAGCCTGCAGAAAGCCCCAGGCTGTGGTTTGCTCAGCAGCATCCTGTTGGGGCTTCAAGCAGTGGAACAACAAAGCAGCAGACTGGGCTCTACATAATCAGCAACTACTTCTCAAGTGAAACTACGCTTTTACACGATGCTATGGACTAGAGCTGTCGCAGCAGTACCTTCAGTGTCACACCTATGACATTGATCGCTTCCTTCACTTGGGGGTGGTTTGTGCACTGCGTCAGCTCTTCACATAGCCACACTCCGAGGCCACAGATGGCTATGCACCTTTGGGAAAGGAAAAGTGCTTCCGTCAGAGGCTTCAGAAGAATGACAGACCTGACAAAGACAGGATCGCTGCTTTCCCTCTCACGCCACAGCTCAACACCTTCACGGCACAGAATGAACCTCACCTTCTAGGGCTAAAGAACCAATCTAAGCAGGATCAAACCACAAGGCAGTAGAAACAACGCAGCTGTACAAGCCCCAGAAACACGTAGTGAGAAAGACTTCCCCATTTTCCCATTTGGTTAACTCAATATTTTACCTTGCAGCTTCACTTGGCTCCTCTGTAGCATTCTTCAATAAAATATTTATGAGGTAACACTAAAATAACAAAACAAATTTGAATCAGCATCTTTTTAATACATGTACTTTAAATAAAGTTGTTCCATTTCACCATAGCCACCCTTTGGTGGGTCTCTGGGGTGGGCACGTGTCACTTTTCCCCTACAGGACTGTTGCTGTGAAGATCAGGAAATGACAGAGCTCTCCATCCCTCAAGGCAATTCATGTCTCCAGGTGTCCACTGAAATCAGTGCTCAAGGAAGAACCATTCACACGAGGTGATGGTTCTAGTAGTGGAATTTTCTTAACATTTAATGTAATACCAAGACTACCTCCCCTTCCGCACCCCCCACATCTCTTACAGGACTAATGTACACAGATAGCATGAATGGACACTTTAACCCATCCCACCACCATCATTTAATGAATTGACCTGACAGCGTCTGCCTGACAAACGTCGCATTTGATCGGAAGCAGTTCACTCCCCTTGCAAATCAAATGCAACTGCAGCATCTCAGCTTGGCCAGTGTCCCGGCTCCTGTTAAGCACAGCAATGCTGATCGAGTAAGTACAACGCAACGTGTGCGGCTGTGCGGGTCCGAGCCCAGCCGTCAGCGGGCACGGAGTGACGGAGCAGTGAGAGCAGGAGCTCGGGAAGGGTCTCCTGGTGGGTCTGGGCTTTACCTTCACGTCCGCAGATCCCGCGATGATCTCGCCAGCTTCGGCAACGGGCCGCAGCAGGGGGATTTCTTGGTAGAGATTTGGGAAGCAGACAAGAGAGCCGAGGATGGTGTGAGCCTCCGAGCGGGGAGCCTGCCCAGGGAGCGAACACAGACACGCACTGAACGCACCCACACGTCAGGAGAACGACAGCGGCTCTGAGGCCGTGTGTGTCACCATGAACACGCAGCGCGCTGTACCCCCACTGCAGCAGCGGCCTCAGGAACACGTCCCGGTGCCTCTTCCTTTACCACTACAGCAAGGGCTGCATTACAGCAGTGACTAACAAGCACTTACCTGCCCATGTCAGCTGCTGTGTTGCCCTGCTCTTTCTTTGAGCCTGAGCTTTGCCTCCAGCAGGGACCTGGCCCCACTTCTAAGCGCATTCTACGTTTTTGATACCTCCTCTGTCATTACACAACCCAACCATCAGCGATTTAGCATCAACAAAACCCACAGAACAACCTAAAGAAAAGCCGAGTGAGAGTTTTAAGCGTTAATCCAGCACTACTATTAGCTGACCCTGCGGCACAAGAGACAGCACAATGCACTCAACCTCACTGTAGATGTGATAGAAGTTCAGAGAGATTCCTACTTCAATAACAAAATCAAAAGCAACATGGCGTGAGCTATAAATGCATTAACTGCTGCGGTATCATCCTGTGTCCTGTTGAAAATGCAATGCATGCTAAGTTTCATGCTTGCAGGAGAAATGGAAGGTGGTGGTGGTTTGGGCTTTTCCCCCATAGAAAGCTGGCTGTTCATTTCTTACTGGCACTCTGAGCTCTGGCTCACTGATCAGGGTTTTGATGGGATGCCTGTTCGATGACAGGATGATGGAGAAGGCACAGCCAGGCTCACTCTTCAGTCCTGCTGGGACAGGAGAGGGCCATGTCCCTGCGCAGCTGCACCAAGGTCAAGAGCAGCAGCAGAAGCACTTGTCCCAAAGGGACAGGTAGGTCCCCCCGGGCTGGTGTTTCATGGACAAAGCTTCCCTGCTCTGCCAGCACTGCCACACTTTCGCCCTTACCGTGCCACCCCCCACTGATCCGCCGGTTTACTTCTTCCCCACTCTCATTGTTCAGAGGCATGCTTGTGCTAGTGCTGATGTTTAGCATGAGATCCTGTACTGCCAGGGGAGTCCCTGCGTGCTCCCTGCGAGGAGCTATCGAGGCTCTGAAGCGCAAGCCCTGCCTCTAGCGCAGAGGCGTGCTGCAGCCCCAGCGGGACCGCTCCTCACACCTCTGTGTGCCTCTGATGAAACCCCTCTGCACCAGGAGCGCGCAGCGCACCCGGGACCCATGCTCAGCTGCCCCAGCACCGCTCCACTCGGCACTCATGAGTCCATACACACCAGCCCCATCAGCACGCACCGGGCGGCCCCTCACCTCCAGCGTGTCCGCGCTCAGCACCCGCGCTGCCGCAGTGATGAAGTCCCCGATGAGCATGGTAAAGCCAGGCAAGGCCAGGAAGAAAAACCATGGCGGGCAGTGCCTGATGACCGTGTTCAGGATATCCTGGAAGAGAAGGGGCCTGCTTCAGAACAAGGAAAGCACAACAACGAAGGCCCAAAACCAAAAGGGAGAGGTGCGGCTGCACCCCAAATCCTATGTCCAGTTCTGGGTCCCTCACTCCAAGAGAGGAGACATTGAGGTGCTGGAGCGGGGCCAGAGAAGGGCAGTGGAGCTGGTGCAGGGCCTGGAGCACAAGTGTGATGGGGAAGGGCTGAGGGACCTGGGGGGTTCAGTCTGGAGAAGGCTCAGGGGGACCTGATGGCTCCCTACAGCTGCCTGACAGGAGGATGGAGCCAGGAGGGGCTGGGCTCTGCTCCCAAGGAACAAGGGATGGGACAAGAGGAAACGGCCTCAAGCTGCACCAGGGCAGGTTTAGATGGAGCTGAGGAACAATTCCTGCCCCAGAGGGTGCTCAGGCATTGGAACAGGCTGCCCAGGGCAGGGCTGCAGTCACCGTCCCTGCAAGGGTTCACACCCCGTGGAGACGAGGCCTCAGTGCCATGGGTTAGTGGTGGCCTTGGCAGTGCTGGGGTAAGGGTTGGACTGGATGAGCTTGAAGGGCTTTTCCAACCAGGTGGATTCTGTGATTCAACTTTGCAATTCACCAGTTCCGCACTAATCATGGTGATAGATAATTCAGAGCCCCACAGCTATATGTAGAAACCGACCATCAGGTACCAGCCACTGCTTCCTGCTGATGTGCTTTGTGAGAAAAGTGCATTTTATATTTTTGTAATAGTTGTAATCTTAAATTCCGGTTGGAAAAAAACCAAACAAATCCTCGTGTCTCTCTGTGTCTAAGGATAACTGTTCTCCTGTTAAATAAGACTTGAATCCAAAGCCATTAATCCATTTCAGGTGAAGCATTGCATCATTCCCAGTGAGTTATTCCCTAAAACCCCATTACCCAAACCTCTGTAGCCATGAACTCCCCCGGTGCCACAACGGGCTGCGGCTTTGCCCAGAGGAGCCTGGGCAGGAACCAAGAGCAGGCGCCAAGCACTGCCAGGCTGCTCCAGCACCCCGGGATCCTCCTGCTCCTCTGAATAACTGAGACAGCAAACCCAGGCCAGCCCTGGCGAGAAGAGCTGCTGCTGAACTCCTGAAGAGGCAAAGGGGCTCTCCTGGGTTTCACAGGTAGCACCACACGTGTGAGAGCAGACCAGCAACCACAGCTCTGCTCTCACGTTACCTGTGACACAGAACGCATTCCAGAGCCGCGCTCCGACTTGAATCCTTCCACACTTCAATTCTCCACATCAGAGCAAAGTTCCTCTATTTAAGATTTCTTTCTTACAGGGTTTCAGCAGGTTTAAACTTGGGTGCAAAACCTCTATAATCCTTACACAGAACTCTGCATTTCCTGAAGAACTGGAAAAAGCAATTTCTACATGATCTAGAATATTAGTTTTTGTCTCAATAAAATGTCAAAGGAAAACCATTTCCAGTGTCCCCCTTTTCTGGTGTTAGGATGTGCTAAGGAAGGCTTGAACTTAACTTCAGGCCCAGAACATGCCCGTACATCAGAACCTACAGAAGCCAAGCTCCCTTTGCACTCCATAAAGAGGAGCTTTTACACCAGCAGTATATTCTGAAGTCCCTGCTGAGCACCTGGGCAGAACCTGGTCAGTGCCCCGCTGTGTATCCACAGCAGTGACACCCCATGGAATAACTGGTGTGTATTTTCAGTAAAGAACACTGGTTTTTCACATAGTAGCAGATAATGCTTTCACTTTCCTGAATAAGCTAAATGCCACTCGAGTTAATGTTTAAACTGCTTTTAATCACTTCCTTTGATACATTTTAAAGTCAATATCAGTCAAGGCAAACATGCAAAGAGAGAGCAGATGGATGCAGCCGCTTGTAAAGCGGGTGATAAACCCGCCCCGGGCAGAACAAAGGACCCACCTTTCTAACACAGGCTCTGATTGATGCCCTGGCTCCCCGCAGCACCTGCAGCCAGGTAGGGGATGGCTGAGCACCACCAGCAGCAGATGGGAGCACGCTGCTGTTGACACAGGCCACAGTGAAAGGGCCTGGGCTCACCTGGCCTGGGAGGTAACAGAGCCTCGGGGGTACAAACAACGGCTGTCGCCCCTGTCCTCGCTCGGCCCCATCTGTTCACCACCACCGGAACGGCCACCGGCTTCGTGGGCTCCCACCCACGGGCACTGCCCAGGAAACAGGACGAAAGAGCAGCAGCAACACTGCTGCTTTCATACACCCACACCTGAGGGAGCACAGCGAGCACAGCTTCAACAAACCCTGGGACAACACAGCCACAAGGCTGGGAGAATGAGGCCGCACCGATGTGCTTGCTGTTTGTGAGATGTGCTACCCCTAAAGAAGTACGCTGGTTTCCAGTGAGAAACTTTCGGAAATTCCTTTGGAAAAGCTAAGGAAGCAACCCTCACTTCCCCCGCTTTGTCCTGTAGCTTCAACGTGATGGATTCCCAGCACAGGCTGTGCACTGTGAGCTACAGCACACCCGACTGTTGGGAGCTGACAACGTACAAGTGTGTAACAGCCCAGCCAAAACCGCATCCAAGCTGGTTCCCATCGGTTCCCGCTGCCACCCCGGGCATTCTGGTGCACATCCACGCTAGCCTGCGTGCCTTCATTTGAACCAACACAAGGCAGAGTGTGTCTGAGGTAACACTGGAGCTCTGCTTGAGCTCAGTCCCAGCAGCAGTGGCAGGGCAGAAGCTCCCGCTGGGATGGTGCTTTCAGGTAAAGCTGCGCAGGGTCCTCCCTCTCCCCACCAGGCACCACGTTTCCTGCTCACAGCTGAGTGTGGCTTCACGCAGCAGTTCAGGAGCACTATGAGCTAGCTCATCAAGGAGACCTGGGCTCATGAGAAAGAGTGCAAGGGAGAGCATATGTCCTATCAGTGCTAGCACAAAAATCAGGTAATTCAAACAGAGGCCGTTGTTTCCTCCCCTCCGAAGCGCTGCCCGGTACATGCAGACCCTGCTCGGCAGCTCGCAGCCTGGTAAATGAATCACTTTAATTGAATGCTATGTACACAGTAACTGGGAAAACACAAGCAATAAGAAAAGCATATGGTGATGGCAATAGAAATTGGTTTACTCATTCTGTGCCGTGTTGTTTCTTTACTTCTTTCATAATTGACCTTTAGAACGATAAACGTGTAAAATAATTTGGGTTTATTATGGCTCCGAACCTTTCAGCAATTACACAAAATGAAAATTTAAAAGGAAGTATTCATTCTGGAAGCATTTCCATTGTTTACATAATTGCACAGCTATAATTTAGCGTTCACGTTGTTGAAGACAAGTGAAAAAAAGGACCATTATGGACTATTTCAATTCAAAATGATGCTCTGTAGTGTTAAAAACGGGGAGGAGGCGAGAGAAGGGGGCCATCACACGCAGGTCCTTCCCAAACGCATTAACCCTGTCAGCATGGGTTAAGCTGGACATCCAAATAATACGGATGGGGGGCACCGAGAGGGCACTTACAAAATACCCCTCCCGCTGCAGGCTCCAGGTGTAAGCGAGCAGCCACCACCTGCCCCGCGCTGCCGCCTTGGCACCCAGTGCACTCCGCTCCTCACCCAGCCTCGGGCGCCGCGGACATCCACAGCCCGGCAAAGAGCAGAGCCCGAGACTGCAGCGTGCAGCCCTTCCTCCTCCATCCCCACTGCAGAAGAGCACACGCTTCCATCCATCCCCATTCCAGGTCTGCCTCCCTACCGCCACCTTCTAGGTAAGAGTTACCGTGTCAGAAATTAAGCTGCATTCACAAGGTATGAAGTCTTCTGACACCCTCGGGATTAGCCTGTCAGGAAACCCATTTCAACCTGTCATTTGACCTCCAAAGGAGTTGTGTGTGCTGAAGTGTCTTGTGACTGGAACGCAACAGGGAGAGATACTACAAACCAGAAGAACAACACGTTTGTAAAGCACGGGTAAGGTTACTCATGAGTGCTAAAGATGACAGATTACTGTGTAAATCACCTCCTGCTAACTGCTCCCTCCCCTCTAAACTACATCAGAAAGCTCCCTCTTCTACAGCTGCATTAATAAGAGAGCAACCAAAGGCCTGTGCTGACAGAGCTGCTCAGATGCCTTCACCAGAGATCACGCAAACATAGGAAAGGAGTTTTTAAAGAGCTTTTAAAGCTTCTCCTCCTTTAAAGTACATTTGATGTATCCACAGCCTCAGAGGGCTAGGGACGTGCTTCAGACTGGAAAAACTGTTTTAAGTTCACACACACCAAGAGGGAAGAATTCAAATACCCATTTGCTACAGAGCTGTGGTACCAACACCTCAGTTACTAGTCCATGGCACTGCTTCAGGAGTCGAGCTGACTTTGTGTCACCACAGGGACTTCTCCCAAAGGCCAGCGGCAGGACACTTCCAAGCCCTGGATCACAGGGAGCCAGGAAGGCACTTCTACCTACCTGCTGCATCAGCTTTCAGGACATAGGACCACATGCAGAGGAGAAGGGGCTGTTTGGCACATCCCAAACCGTGGCAAACGCGGCTAGTGCAGGTCCCAGTGAGCGGCTGCAGTGGCTGAGCAGTCTAGAAGTTGTCCACAGCCCCTTGTGTTGAATAAGAACTTCAAAGAAACATACAGCAGCTCACAAGTGGTTTATGTTGAACTCCAGATCAATGTCGGTACAAACAGGTAGATAACAAGGTAGATAACAGGTAGATAACATGGCTTCTCTTGTAGCAATTCTACTGAGAAATGCTTCAGGTTTTAAATCAGCCATCTCTGATGAAAGAGCTGCAGCCAGTTTTCCTCACAAGCTTACCACATAACTGGTGTAGCTTCCCTGCCATAATCAGGGACAGCGCATCTGAGACAGACGACGAGGCTTGTAGGCAAGCACAGCCTACGTTAGTACATCACCATCTTTATTGGCAGAGTATTTCAGCTAAGTCACCCTTCTGCTACCAAAAGGCACGGAGCTAAAAGCATAGCTGTTAACTCCTCTGCCTGCAGCTGGCTGCATCCTGCACGGCCTGAA